CCATAGAAGGTCTCTCTCCACTCCCCCTGCCTGCACCAGCCAAAAGCTCTGCCTGAAGCCACGAGCCCTGAACCCTGAGCCGTGGACCATGAGCCATCGAGAGAGGCCTCACCTGAACTGTGTGTGTCTGTCAGTGCGGATCCCTGGATGGCCTGCCTAGGATTCTGGAACCCACCAGGACTCTGGCAAATAGACCGTGAGTGATTCGTGCATTGCATGTTTGTCTCCTGGGTCATTTATGCTCGGTGGAATTATTCATTGAGTACCTAGGGTCGTATATATCACCTGTGCATTCGTCCCGTATGGAATTATTGGGACATCCATTAAGTGTTTGCCATCATTGTCTTCACTGTTGTCAAAAATTATTTTTCTGACCCCAACTCTATAAAAGTTGGGGAAATGGCCTGGTTCATGTACTTATATTACCTAGCTAGCCCCTGTAGCTACAAGTGTGAGGAACCCCCTTCCCCCTCCCACCCCCCACCCCCAATTTGTACTTCTTGAAGCCAGAAATTTAGAATTTCCTGGGAAATCTCTTGGTTTCCAAATGTTGAACATCACCTTTAAAAAACTCTTTGGGAACTAAAAGAACATCTTTAGGAGGCCATATTATCATGCATGGCTTAAACTAGAGTTGAATATTTTGGTGTTGTGGAGATTACAGTTTGAGGATGGTACTGATAGGAATGACTCTGAAGAGGCAGGTCAGGGCCTGATAAAGAAAGGCCCTACAGGTCAGGACAGGTGTGTTGAAATCTGAGAAGAGCATTGTGAAGGTATGAGATCAAATTTATTATCCTCTGTAGACTGTCTTCAATTCCGGGATGGTGGGTTTTCACGTGAGGGGCAGGTTGAACATGGGATAGAGATCTTTCTGCATCTTTTGCACTATCCCCCCTTCTCTCCCGTTTCTCATCTGAAGTCCCTAAATTACCGAGAACAAGGCAGGACCTGAGAGGGCCACCTTAGCCACTTCTCCCCATTTTTTAAAAAATATATTTTATTGATTTTGTACAGAGAGGAAGAGAGAGAGATAGAGTTAGAAACATCGATGACACAGTCATCGGTCAGCTGCCTCTTGCACACCCCCTACTGGGGATATGCCCGAAACCAAGGGACATGCCCTTGACCGGAATCGAACCCGGGACCTTTCAATCCCCAAGCCAATGCTCTATCCATTGAACCAATCTGGTTTTGGCTTCTCCCCATTTTGAAGCTATTTACAGCACAGGAAAGGTAAAGGCAAGCTTCTTGGAGAAACATCTGTCTCCTTCTACAAGACCCCTCCCACTCCTGGAGGGTATGGCCTTAAAAGGGCACAAGGAGAGCCCTGGTTATGTTTCCTGCCGCCACCACCCCAGTCCCTCCCTTCAGCAGTCACCAAAGGAAGCCCATCTTGTTTCCTCCAAGTAGCTTCTGCTGTTCAGTGCCACAGAAGCATGAAATATGAATACAGACTATAGCAACAACTTTCAAACATTTCCACCACTGCCCACAGTTGGAACCACAGAAATACCTTTTTATTTCACTGCCATATACACTATATATACAACAGAAGTAAACGTTTTTGCAAAACAACACATCCCCAAATATGATGTGCAGTGCACCGATATTTTCTACTCAATTCTGATTGTTTGTTTGTTTGCTCAGTGTGATCTGTGACCCATTATATCAATTTCAAAACCCTCTAATGGGTTGCTAACCAAGTCTGAAAACCCCCTGGTTACAGGTTGCAGTACCTACAACTAATATTTCCCAAGGAGTTTCTTATTTCAGATGTATGAGTAATACATATGCCTAACACCATTAGTAAGCAAGATAACTCTAGAAAAAACATGGGGATATTTGTATTTATATTTGTTATTTCAAATTAGCTTTTACAGGTGGCTTCCATTTGGAAATGTATCACTTTCCAAGTGATACTGATTTTCCACTTATGTAAGTGATTTTAAGTTTTCTTTTTAAATAAATGCATTTAAGTTTAAAAAGTGATTTAAAGAAAAATGTTACATGAATTATAGTATAGGAAAAGGCATGTCAAAATCTCAAACATATTGCTCATGTTCTTAAGTGTGGGAAGCACTATCTTGCACCATCCTATCTAATAAGAATAATATGCAAATTGACCATCACTCCAACACACAAGATGGCTGCCCCCATGTGGACACAAGATGGCCAGCAGGGGAATGCAGTTGGGAGGGACCAGGCCTGCAAGGGAGGGCGGTTGGGGGCGATCAAGCCTGCAGGGAAGGACAGATAGAGGTGACCAGGCTGGCAGAGGAGGGAAGTTGGGGGTGACTAGGCCTGCAGGGAAGGGCAGTTGGGGGGGACCAGCCCTGCAGGGGAGGACAGTTGGGGGGGACCAGGCCTTCAGGGGAGGGCAGTTACGGATGACCAGGCCTGCAGGAAAGGGCAGTTAGTGGTGACCAGGCCAGCAGGGAAAGCCATTATGGGGCAATCAGGCTGGCAGGGGAACAGTTAGGCATCAATCAGGCTGGCAGGAGAGTGGTTAGAGGGTGATCAGGCTGGCAAACAGAAGAAGTTAGGGCCAATCAGGAAGGCAGGCAGGCTATCAGTTGAGAGCCAGCAGTCCTGGATTGTGAGAGGGATGTCCAACTGCCCATTTAAGCCCGATCCTACTGGGACATCCCTCGAGGGGTCCCAGATGGAGAGGTTGCAGGCTACGCTGAGGGACACATACCCCCATGCACCAATTTCATGCACTGGACCTCTAGTTTCATTATAAAATAACAAGAAGCCTACTTTCCTAAACATTAGATCTGGTTTTTCAGTTTTACTCATTACTCCCAGGAAGTTAAGTTACATGACATGACATTATATTACATTTCACTTTTCCCCAGCAGCATCTTAAAACCAAGCCAAGGCTTTTTCTTGTTGGGCAGTTTGGAGTCCAACATCTATTAGAAAAAAATGATTTGTATAGATCTTGAGATACTGGAACTGCCTGCCCTTCTTCGGATCACCATGTGGTCTTCCTTTCTCTGTCAGGCTCTCGAGTTAAATATTTCCTGTTTCTCTGAGTCTCTTCCTTGTCCCCCTTCCCAGGTAACCTCCACCCTCTCCTCCACACACTCTCTTGCCCACCCGCAGGCCGCTCTGCAGCAAACCCACCTTTGTGTTTCAGCTGCCCTTGCCCATCCTCCAAGAGCCTCAGAGCTTATTCCAGAGTACAGCTATCTCAGAGCAAAACTATGTCATTAAAAGTTACTTTTAGAATTCCCTGCTTTTTAGTGGCATTCTTTGTATCTTATCTAACCTCTCGTTCTCTTACTCCCTGCTGAATAAGGCTCTGTGTGAGACAGGCTGCCGAGCCGTTTTCTTTCTTTGTGACCGCTTGTGACCTCTGGCATCAGCTGTGTGGCTGCTCCTCAGGACTCCCACGTTGGGCTTGCTGCTCCCGGCAAACTTGATCTGTTGTTCATGAAACATTGTTCCTGCTGGGGCCCTATTCCCCCCATCAAGGCCAAAGTCAGAGCTCCTTCTATTGTCTTTAATAACTCGGGTGCTAACCTGAGCTAAACAGTACCCCAGAGAAGCTTCATGCATAGAAACCACTCCATACCTGTGGTCTCTGTGTCCTTATCCCCATGCCCCCAAATCTCAAGTCATCTGGCTTCATATCTTCAAATTATTTTTCCAACCCTGCCTGAAGTTGTGTCTGAAGTCTCTAATTCAGTTTTATCTATACTCTCTGCCTAGCTCCACATGAAGTTTTCTCTCCCCTTTCTCCTCAAGTGCCAATACCTGAGCTCTTGAAGTTCTTCCCCCTACTGTACAGCTTCCTAGCCATCTATTTCTGGCCTTCTATTGTACAAACGGATGTGTGAAAAGCCCTTATATCAACACACACACACACACACACACACACACACACATACACACACACACACAATACACATTCAAAATGGGAAAAGATGTATAAGCACAAAATAGATTGTCCAACACTGCTTGGGGAGAAATAAGAGCCTTAGAGATTCCCAGCAGTTCTGGTTAGTATGTTGAGCATATTTCACTCTGCAAGCAAATTTGTATCATTTTCAAACACAGCTTAAACAAAGAACCTTGATGCTTATTGCAGATTTAGATAACTGCTTCCCTATTAAGAAGAGATTTTTTAAATTGTGTTTTCATTATGATTTCATTCCTTTTATTGATCAAGGGATTTCTTGCCTCACTTAACTCCATAATCTGTTGCTCAGATTAAGAAAATGTGAAAACTATTATTTGAGTATAGACTTTAAAGTGATACCTTGGAAGCTGAATGATTCAAATACTATAATCCAAGAAAAGCAACTAATTGATCATGCAGAATGTGTTTTTATGCATTACTCTTTATGGACTGACCATGCAATGAAATGAATCAAATGTTTTGTAGATGTGCTGCTATAGAAGCAGGGATTTACTAATGTAGAAACATCCAACAGAAAGCACTAACACAAGAGGTGGGAAATAATACATGTAAAAACCCTTAATAAACAATGTATGCCATTATTCATTCAACATATTTTGAGCATCTATTATGTTCTTTTTTTTTCTTTTTTTTTTAATATTGTATTGATTTTTTACAGAGAGGAAGGGAGAGAGATAGAGAGCTAGAAACGTCGATGAGAGAGAAACATCAACCAGCTGCCTCCTGCACACCCCCCACCGGGGATGTGCCCGCAACCAACGTACATGCCCCTGACCGGAATCGAACCCGGGACCCCTCAGTCCGCAGGCCGACGCTCTACCACTGAGCCAAACCGGCCTCGGCATATTATGTTCTTTTTTTATATAAGGAACAACGCAAGGTATAGTAGCTTCTCGGTTATTAGAAATAACCCTCATTTTAGTCTTTTCTTTCTTTCTTAAAAAAATATTTTTATTGATTTCAGAGAGGAAAGCAGAGGGAGAGATTAATAGAAACATCAATGATGAGAAAGAATCATCAGTCAGCTGCCTCCTCCCACCCCAACTGGAGATCGAGCCCGCAACTGGAGCATATGCCCTCACTGGGAATAGAACCGGTGACCTCTTGGTTCATGCAACAACCCTCAACCACTGAGCCACCCCTGGCTGGGCAGTATTTTCTTTCTTGCATCACTACTACCTAGTATGTAGACAGCTGTGTACATGTGCTTTTTGGATGAATGCAAGACCTGTACACTTACTGCTGGTCTTCTACCCTCCACTTTGTCACCTTGTTTGCCACTTTACTCCTCATTAATTCTTTCTCTTGAGGGCTAATTGGGAAAGAAAGGAGGTGAATTTCAGGTCAGTCAGGCATCCTTAGCTACTGAAGCAGTTAAATCTCTGTGCAATAAACTTTAAAGACCTGTCTAAATCCTTTTGTGTCATTTAAGATTTTATTCCATCCAACTGATTGAACAGTCCTGCCAATTCAAGCTTAGACAACCTTGAGATTGCTATTTTGGTTAATAGTTATAACACTATGTGACCTGTCTCTGGAAGATTTTGTAAATTAAAGTGTAAGAGTCTGTCTAAAGAATGAACTCTAATTTACTCAGTGCTTATTACATGAGAGACTCTCAACTGTACAGTTTGCATTGCTTATCTATTTTATAATGCAAGCAGGACTGGGCAGTTTACAATTACCAAGAGAAGTAGAATACCCACTCTATAGTTGTGGAAACTGAGGCTCAGATACTCTGACCAGTCTCTGTAAGGAAAACCCTGGCTCACAGAGCCCAGAGCACAGGCCATTTATTACAAAGGAATGGAGATTGCTGGGCCTTTCACTAATCTATGCTGTCCACACTTAACATGGGTAATTGAAACCTGACCTTATGTTCCTTTCAAAATCTCCAAGGAGTCTGGCTGCAGAGCCTACATGGACAACTTCTTTCAGCAGCTGAAAAGCAAAATGCTTTTGTGGAATAAAATCAGTCTTTATTTCAATGGGGTTTTTTCCTTCTTAAAGAAAAAAAAAAATTATCCACCAGAGCACTTAACAAGAACGCTCACAGAATGGGCAAGTTTTCAGATCTGGCTGTGCAGAATGCCGTGGAAGTGATGACAGCTTTAGGGCACTTGGGCCTTAGATGTTACAGACGATGTAATGAACAGCTGGGGATTTCTTAGACGCGATTGTGTGACATAGGAGGGCAGCTGCAGCTCGGTGCAAACCTCGCCCCTCTCGCTCTCCACCAGCCTGGTGCCGCCTGCTGCTGCTGCTGCAGCAGCGCCTACGGCAGCCCGCGTCTTCCCGCCCCCGCGCGCCCGCCCAGTCTGACGCCAGCAGGACTGGGCAGCACGCCCCGCCCCCGCCCGCCCCCGTCCCGCGCACGTGACCGCGGGGCAGTTTCCCTTCTTCCCTCCCCTCCCAGAAACCCCTCCTGCTCCTGAGAGGCTGCGGCTCTCTATTGCGCCACTACGGGAACGACTGCAGCATCAGCCAATCAGAGCCCGGCTCTTCAAGTAAGACCCGCCCCCCGATAGTCCTCTGGTTCCTTCCCGCTCACACAAGAGTCACTTCCGAAGAGAGAACCGCCATGAAGAGAGAAGGGGGTGCCGCCCACCTCTGTTCCGACAGCCTCCCCGAGTCCCAGCGACAAGACGGCAACCACGCACCCAACTTCTCCAGCTACAGCTCATGCCGCCGTCGCCAGCGGCGCCGACATGACAAGGCGCTGCATGCTCGCTAGGCCAGGTTTCCCCTCATCCCCAGCCCCGGGGTCGTCGCCCCCGCGCTGCCATCAGAGACCCGGTAGTACCGCTCCTGCTGCAGCGGGAAAGAGGACAGAGAGTCCTGGGGACAGGTACCGTGCAGAGGGCTTGAGAAGGGGCCGGGTCGCGGGGGCAAGGGTATGAGGGAGGACTGCGGACGGCCGCTCTTCCAGTTCCCGCCATCCTCCGCGAGCCCAGGCCTCAGCGTTTTGGGGCCTGGCGAGCCTCCGCCCCGCCTCCGCGCGGCGGCTTCTGGGAGTTCGAGTTTCCTTGTCTGTAGTCGGGACGCTGTCCTCGGTCTAGGGACCGCCGCCGCCGGGATGGCTACGGAGATATCCCGCCCTAGTATGTGATTCTTGTCCTTGACGATAGCTGGACCCCCGGGGCCCTAACCGGTTAATGCACGTCTAGGTGGTTTTCTGTACTTTTGCCAGTGCTACTGATCCTAGTGGTTTAATAGTATAAACCATTTGTTTTTTTTCCTATATTGTAGGTGAGAAATTATGTAAGGAGGGATAAGGGAAACCCACAAATTACTTTTTAGTTCAGCATAAACGATCATTCATACTTTTAAAAGAACATGCACATTTGGAATGTGATGTTTTTCTCCAATCCAAGAGGCCAGTGTTTATGTAAAGATTTTGTGGGAGCTATGTAAAAAGATGGGGAATTTCTTCAAATGACTTCCTCTGACAATAAAACATGTTTAAATTCTCTACACACTTGGTACTGTCTTTTTTATTTTAAGTTTAAAAGCTTGTAACTTAAGTTTAACAGTAAATGTATCTTCTGCTATTGGTAGAACAGGTCCACAATCCCTTATCTTCATTTTGAAAGTCAGGAAGCTATGAAAACCAAAAGTATTCAGTAAGTTTGGCACCACATCTTACTTGGAAGCCAAACCTAACTAGAACTAATGGAAGGCTGTATATGGTCTATATCCCATTAAGTGTAAGTGTTCATGAGTTTTGCTGGAAAAATATTAATGTGTTTACTGCTACAGGGTGCAATATCAAACCCCACTAAGGGCTTTACATACTGCATCCAAGTTACCTGCCTTTCTAAAACCCAGAATTCTAAAATACATTTGGCCCCAAAAGTTTCAGATAAGGGTTTGTGAGCTATTATAATTTTTTTAACTAGTTATGAATAAGTAATATATTTCTGTGCATGTGAACTTAAGGAAACATTTCTTGAACGTTCATAGTTGTTTTGCACATATCCTGCGTGTTCTACAAAACCATTTTTCTCTCGTATAAGAATGGGGAGGGAGGGGGGGAGCCAGGGATCTAATATTTTAGGAAAGAGATATAGTGTTACTTTTAGTAATTAATGTAAAAACATTTAGTACTATCTTATTTTGAATTAACTGCTTTTTAATCCTGTCCCATCTCTTTTTCCTCAATAACAAGGTATCATCCTTCTTCTCTTTACAGAACCTCTAGCATTTGTTTCTTGACTCTCATGTAGTGATGTGTCCAATTTATTTTATGAAAACAAATGCATAGATTCTTTCTTCCATTACTCATTCATTTTATAACCTCTTTAATTTTTCTACCAGCATCTAAAACATTGTAGGCTCTCAATAAACCATTAAATATAGACATTGCTTTTGTAATGTGATCAGTAAAGTATATAAGATAAAGCTTAACCTTCAAGGGACTTGGGTTGTTTGTTTTCTCTGAGCATTCCAACCTCCTAGTGGATAAATGTTTAAGGAAATTCATAGACTATTGGTTATTTTCTTTCAAGAAAATAATTAAATTTTAGCCATATTTGCCAGAAGGTTGATTTTTTTGTTCTAGATATAATTCCCCTCTTTATGCAGCTGACAAATAATTATAAAGACATGAACAAATCAGAATATGAATTCTGATAATATGGTCCTATTTCACTTTGTGTCCACTGTAGGGTGCAGAAATTCTTTTTAAAAATGAAAACAATTTGGGTTTTGTTATTCTTGTTAACTTTTCTCTTTGTTTTATTCCCCCCCAGGTAATGTGTTATTCTGTAAATAACTTAAGAACTCTTAGATAGCCCTGGCTGGTGTGGCTCAGTGGGTGGAGTATCAGCCTGCGGACTGAAGGGTCCCAGGTTCACTTCCAGTCAAAGGCACAAGCCAGGGTTGCAGACTCAATCCCCAGTAGAAACCATGCAGGAGGCAGCCAGTCAGTGATTCTCATCATTGATGTTTCTCTCTTCCTCTCCCTCTCCCTCTCCCTCCCTTCCTCTGAAATCAATAAAAATATATTTAAAAAAAAAAAACTTTAGATAAATTTTTGAAACGCTATGTAGTTGTGAACTCATTCCAGTTTCTGCTGCTACTTAGATTAGCATCTTAATGTAGTGTACAAGAAAGTAGTAGAAGATTAATACTTGATCCTTAGTCTTTTGCCCAGCATACTCTTCAGCTGTATCCTCAGACCAGCCTAATCGACCCATTCTACCATCTACTCTTGTGATGAGACTCTTCAGGTTTTACTCAGTTTTTACAATATCCATTATTCATTTAGCGAACATTGATTAAACATTATTTTGAATCAAATTACTGAAGTTAAAGCATAGGATCAGATTCCCTCAAGATCTTTTACTCTATGTAGTAGTGAGCTTTTGAGCCCTAGGAAGCACTCTACCAATTCTCTGGTCTATACTTCTATCTTCTCATTTTAGTACTATAGATTATATAAACTTCAGTTGTACTTATAAATTTATTCCTACAGGAAGTGGTGAATTATATTTTCAGTTGTTTAAAATCAGCTTAACAAAGCATTATTGTTCCTGTCAGATTTTTATTAAACTAGATAGTGAAATTCAGCCTATATTCTATAAATCTGCTAGAATAATTTATATTTTATAAATTATTGAGGTTTGAATATTTGCTTATGTGATTCCATATTAGTTATGCTTTTATTTTCAGGAAGCAGTCAATTATAGATTTCTTCAAACCAACTTCAAAACCAGGTATGTATACTACTGATGCATATTTTTGTGGGATTTTTTTTGGAGAGGGAAATGGATTCAATTCTTAAATCTGCTCTAAACTCATTAATTTGATTAAATAGTATTAAAAATTGAAAATTAAAATGCAGTTTTTTACAAAGAAACAATTGTAAGCATCATGAAACTTTTTGCTTCTATATTTTAAAACTATTCTAGCCAATTTTCATAATGCATACCGGTTTGATTTTCTAATACAGTAACTTATTTCATAGAGCCATAAGGAGCTTACGTGATATAGCAAAAGGAAGGCTTATGAAAGTAAGGCTGTTAACAATTAAATTGTGTCTTAATCCCACCCTCCATAAAATGTGTATCATCATCTAAATAAGCAATTTGAATTTTTTTGTGATAGATTAGTATTATTTTTATACAAATAGTTTGTATATTTTTAATAACATGCAATTTGTGTGTTTTAATTGGCTATTTAGACAGACATATGTTGGATTCTCCACAAAAGTCAAACATCAAGTATGGAGAAAGTGGTTTATCCATCACTGGGACAGAGCAGTTTGAAAGGAAACTATCCTCGCCAAAAATATCTAAACCCAAAAAGCTGTCATCAGAAAAGAGCTCTATTTTAGAGGCTTTAATGAAAGGTGTTAAAGAGCACCATAAAGATCATGGTGTACATGAGTCATATCGGCCTTGTGTGTCACTAACCACCAAATGTCCAAAGACACTTACAAAGACTGTCTATGTTCCTCCTTCATGTCACCTGTCTAAAGAGATGAAGACACTAAAGAAAAAACATCGGTCTCCAGAGAGAAGAAAGTCACTATACACTCATGAAAATAGCAGGGAGAAGAATGATAGAGATCGAGGCAAGACCAATGCAGATTCCAAAAAGCAGACCACAGTGACAGAAACTGACATCTTCAAGAACACCACCAGAAGTCTTAGCAGCAGAAGTAGCCTATCCAGGCATCACTCAGGAGAAAGCCCACTTGGAGCTAAGTTCCAGTTGTCACTAGCTTCTTACTGCAAAGAAAGAGAACTAAAGAAGTTAAGAAGGGAGCAAATGGAACAGAGAATCAACTCAGAAAATTCTTTCTCAGAAGCAAACAGTCTTTCCTTAAAATCCTCTAGTATAGAAAGAAATTACCAGCCAAGGCAGGAACAAAGTAAACAGAATGATGTCAGACCTGGGAAGAGTAATCTTTCAAACCTGGTATGTGAAATAATTACTGAATTAGCTTGGCTACTGCTTTGTCATGTTTATTTTTTATTATTATTTTTAAAATATATATATTTTATTGATTTTTTATAGAGGAATGGAGAAGGAGAGGAATAGAGAGTTAGAAACATCAATGAGGGAGAAACATCAATTCAGCTGCCTTCTACACGTTCCCCATTGGGGATGTGCCCACAACCAAGGTACATGCCCTTGATCGGAATCGAACCCAGGGCCCTTTAGTCCACAGGATGCTCTTTCCACTGAGCCAATCGGTTAGGGTTGCTTTGTCATATTTAGATATTAAATCTAAAAATATTTAAATTGTTAGAATATATTGTTATCTCTTATTAAAGAAATAATAACAGATTGTGTAATAGAAGCTGATTTTATTAGGTTTTCTCCAACTGTTGATCAAACTCAGTAAAATAATGTTTCCTGACCTTAATTTTTTAAGTTGTTAGAAATACAAATTTCAGCTCCCACTCCAGAACCACTGAACCAGAAACCGTGGAGGTAGAATTAACAAGCCTTCTAAGTGATTTTGATGAACATTAAAGTTTGAGAATCACTGGTTTAGATTATATATAAACTAGAAGCCCGATGCACGAAGATTCATGTAAGAATGGGCCTTCTTTTCCCTGGTTGCTGGCACTGCCTTTACTCCAGACGGAGCTGCCTCCCACCTTTTCTCCGGTCCAGAGCTGCATTTCTGCCTCCCCACGCTGGTGCATTATGAAATGACATATAGTGGCTGGTGCATTATGGAATGACATGGCCAATTGGTGCCTGTTTATGCAAATTAACCCACTGTCTTGTTGGGTTAATTTGCATACTCCTGATTGGCTGATGGGTGCCATGGAGGTAGGGTCAATTTGCATCTTTTTTATTAGTGTAGATCTTAAGTAATTGAGTATGAGTCTTAGAAAGCTATCCAAATAACATTTTTAAAATTTTTTTCATCTTAGTTTTTCCCATCACCATTTATCCCCTCTCTGCCCTCTTCCACCTCCAGACATCCCCCTTCACATCTTAACCTCATCAGATTTATCTTTTGAGACTAGACCAAACTTAGATCAGCACAAAAGGTGACCCTCATCCCTGGGAGGTCAAGTTGTTAAATATATTTCAGAAAGCTGCTCTCCATACAGAGCAAATACAGGAAGATTAGGTAATAGTAAGTGCTATGATGAAATGTTGCTATGAAATTTGTACACCAGACAGACCAAAAATAAACCAAACTATGAAGTTCTGG